TGGTTAATTTTATTTTGTAGAATTTTTACAAAATAACATAATTTCAGGCAGCCAATCAAAACATTTCCAAGCACAACACACAGTTGCGTAAGCGTCAACGGGTGTTTATAATATTTAATGGTGACAGGAGTGTTTATAATGTCATTATTGGTTTTCAAATTAAAATTAGGCGATATAGTGAAGTTAAAGTAAATCAGTAAGTGTTTTAGAAGTACTGATAGTTATATTGTACCAAATTTCTATATAATCTGATGATTTAAGAATGGTGTGTTATTTAATTTTGTGTATGTTATTTTTGTGTTCATTTATGTAGGTATGTATTAATTAGGTTTTATTTAGAAAATTGTTTAATAAAGCAACATTTCTTATAAGAAATACTTTTGATACTGGGTATTTTGTTATTAAATTTACAAAATATCTGTAATACACAGTAAAACACATTGTATCACAATTAAAGTTAAATTACACCAATAGTGGCAAAATAGAAAAAACTGGTAATAACCGAAATGCGTTTTAAAATGTTTGATTGGTACCTATCTACCTACGCAGTTCATATCCGGAGATACCGCGTTGTAGAAGTGTGGCATTTTTGTTCAGTTAGATTTTAATTACGGTAAATCCATAAGAGGGCATTCTTATTTTTTGGTAAGTATTATACTTCTTTTTTGTTTAAGCCTTAATACTCAATAAATACCAATATGTTAAAAGGATGTCCATACCCGACCTATATTATATATCAATAATTTACGGCAGTAGGTCGGGTACTTGTAACATTAATAATATAAATACATACACGCTTGATTTACTTTTTATTTTCAAGCGTAATGGTTGTTATATTAACCTATACCTACATTTTTATTAATATTATGGAAAATTTGTACTCGTGTGGTAAATCCCCGACATACAGCCGCCTGACGCCTCTCTACCAATGGGATCACCCATTTTTTATAACAGAAAAATGGATTACTGATGAATTCTCAAGAAAATTCATTGCTTACAAGTTGACAGCCAGTAAAACATTGCATTGATCTAAAACTTTTACGTTCTAAGGAACCATTTTGCTTAAGCCAGCCATAGGACTCAAATATAAAATTATATTTTAAAAGGCACCGATTTTGATAATTTTCATAGATTTTTGTTCCAAATAAATGTTTCTCTTTATTTACCTTTTCGTTTTATTCACTACCACCAATAGGTTTTACTCAAATAATAGTGTTAATTTACACTAGAAGTTTGCACTAAAAGAGTAAAAGTACCTTTCGAAAATTAGAACTTTTCCAAAGTAGTGTTTATTTACACTAAACAAAAGTGGGATTTCACCCAGGAAGTGTATAAGTACACGATTTTATGTAAACTAACACTTTTTAATACAGTGTAAAATTACTTTATCCTCAGTGCTATAGTGTTAAATCATACTTGCTTACTTGGGGAAAATTATACTACAAATTAACTCTAATTGTAGTCTTATAAAACAAGACTATTTAGTGTTGACCTGTGTGAACTCTAATTAGTGTGGAAAATTATACTACAAATTAACTCTAATTGTAGTCTTAAAAAACAACACTATTTAGTGTTGACCTGTGTGAATTAGTGTTGCTTAGAGTTGATTTTTTTTACTGTGTAATTACAAACCCCAAAAATACTTTTTATTTTTATTTTTTTTAAATTGTTCGTTTTCAAATTAAATTTAGAAAAAAAATCATTTTCTATAATATCTACTTAAAATTAAATTGTAAGTTCATTTAAAAACGTAAAATTTTAAAAAAGTTATATTTGACATTTTTAAATAATGACAAAAAATCAAAGATAAGTACTTTTAAGCAAATATAATCTTTGCTTTTAAGTACTTATTAAAAGTGACAAAAAAATCAAAGAGAAGTACTATAACAGAGAAAAAAGAAAATCACCAAAGATCATAAAAATACTAAATCAAAAGAGTTTAGGAAATACTGAATCAGTTAAAAAGTGCATAAAGCACTAAAAAATTCAACATGGCGATGATCTTAGCAGATAAAATCTGAAAGATCCTCTTTCGTCATTTTGTACAAGTGAATTATTTCTGAGAACTAATTTTATATTTGAATCATTACAAAGAATGTAATAAAACTTCTGCACGTAATGAAATAGGTGGTAGTAATAAACAATAAAGTAAAGAACTAATAAAAAAGTAATATAGGTGTATGGAGTATTATTGACTTATAACGCATTTTATGGGTAAGCTGTCATCGGTGGAGACCAATAACTTGTGGTCCGAAAAGCGTTTTATCAGCGAGCGCTGTCGAAGTGAAACTTTGGGCGGAATTAATGTGTGGCCACAAGGTAATTCAATCTTCTTTGTCATTAGTATTATTTATACGGAGTTTATGTGCTGCAACAAATCACCGAGCGTTCGTCTTGTTGAAATATCGGGGCCTCGGGCAACGCAGCAACCTTAACGAGAGCCTAAGACAAACAGCCCCAGCCGAGTGAAAGATTTTAATAGGCCCAGTTTTTAGAGCTGGCGGCCCTACGCTCCGACGGATTGATTGTTTATCAATGGAATAATGGAAAAGAGCTGAATTTGCACTTCTCAGACCGACCCGTTCCCGCGGTGTTGCCCTCTCGCTCTTTCTCTCGATCCTCATCCTACGAATTAGTTCGCCATGTTAGCTCGCAATACCTGACTCGGCACATTTTAATGAATATTCGAAGCGAGTGTTTTCACTTGTAGGATTTTCTATAAAGCGTATTTTTAAATTTCCGTATTTTATTTTAATGATATATACGGGATTTTAATTAAAATATATTAAAAAGTGGCGGAAAGTGATTGGTAACAGCACAAGTTAGACTTTGATGTAAAATGTAAGTGTACTGTTACCATGTATTGTCAAAATATTAATTATATTTTTATAAAAGTAAAGTAAATGTTACGCAATGTCATGACATGAAAAAAAAAGATTTCTTATATTTAAAACACCTAATATCTCAAAAATATTTTTTTAATTCAAGTCAACTTGCTTTAAAATAAGAATAATAAATAAAATATTCTTGAAGGAAATCTTAGTTAGTTTCTTGGTACAATTGTTAATATTTTTTTTACATCAAGAAAAAGATATTCTTATTTTTTTAATTGTTTAATTTTTTTATATTATTATTGGTTTTAATAAACAGTATTTTCTTTTGCCAAAAATAAATATTTTTGAAATCGTGTAGGAGTGGAGATGCCGACACGTTCCTCTAAAATGGTATGCCTAATCATGCAGTGTTTCTTTCTCTTTGTGAAGGAGAGGGCGTATTTCATTAAAAAAATATTAAAAGAGTGGTCAGCATCGAAGGAAATTATAAAAAAAATTGAAGGTAAGTAAGTTGTTATTGATATACCACCCTTTTTTAAATTTAGCGTCGAATTTACGTGTAGGTAGGTAGGTTTATTGTTTAAATATTTACTAATTAAGAATAACTTAAAATTATTTTATTCTTAAATAAATAGGCTTTGCAGTGATAACCAAAATATCTTAACATGGCTCTATAATTTTAAGTTAATAAACTTAATTTATTTTATGACATTTAAAAAGATTTTGTTTTAGAAGTAATTTTGTTACACACTTTGGAGTATAACATTAATTTTAATTCATATAGGGTGGAGTTCATTGGCAATAGCCCTAAATTATTTTATAAAATTGGTAATTGCTTTTCTACTATGCTTAAAATATTACAAATTATTTAAAATAAAAAATATGTCGATAATAATGATTAAGTTTCCTACGGTAATTTATAATAACGTACACATTTTAGATTTTTATTGTATTAAAAATAAAATAAATGTGTTTGTTTAACGTTTGTTTTTTCATTTTCTAACCCATTTTTTTTGCTTGCTTCGGTAAGTTTGTCTCAATTTTGAATAATCCGTAAGTGTTTAAATATAAAGTTTTGTTTAAGATTAGACAACAATCCTTAAAAAATTACAGGATATTTAAAACTACTCCAGTCCCCTTCAAGTGTTTAGATTTATTTTTATTTTAAATTTTATTTCTTTTGCAGTATACTGCATATTATAATATTCCTAAATATAAAGATGTATTTATTATTAAAATAAATAATTTGTAGTTAATAGACCTATCATTATTTAAAATTTTATTGATTTTAAATACAAAATGATAATTTTTGAAACTTTGCTAAAAGTAGCTTAAAATTAAGATAGATACATTTTATTTTGTAATCAATGAAATAAAATTTTAAATCTTGTATCTATTAATTAAAAAAATATTGGGTTATAGAAAACATCTTGCCTTATTAAAAAAAATTGTTTTATGACAATTTATTCTTGAATTAAGTAAGTACCTATCTTTTTTATTGAAGAATACTACTAATTTATTTTTAAAAGTACATTTTCTCAATTATTTTGTTAAAGAAAATACATTTTCTTAAAATAAGTAATTATTGCTGCCTTAAGTTTTATTTAAAGAAATTTATTTTTCTTACATTAAGAAAAAATTCTTAAAGTAAATCAAAGTGAATTAAGAAAATACTTTACTATTTTAAAAAATATATATTCTCTTCCTTATATATGAGACAGATTGTTTTGAATCATATAAATTTATTTGATACAAGAATTTTTTTTTCAGTGCAGAATAAATTTTAACCAGCCTTAAAACAAAGACGGTATGAAATCAAGTATAGTAATAGTTCAATAAAAAAGTTTACAAGCCAAATTTCTAGAAAACAATTTTGCATTATGTTTATTAAAAAAACTTTTTGAATAAACTAGAAAATATACTAAAAATTGTTTGAAAATGTTTATTACTTCGCTATTACAAAAAGTAGAATGTAGTAAAGTCTACTACAAAAAAATTGTCAATATATTTTTACAAAAGAATATTAAAAAAGAGGAAAATCAAGAATCAAAGTACTCAGTTCTCAATTTTCAACGATATTTCTCTATTATTTAAAAATATTCCTGTACCATTTTTTCAGAACATTCACATAAGTGTTACATTTAAAATAAAAACTATTGTATTTACCTGCAGTACTCTCTTAGGTAATCCAGTCTTTTGAGATAGTTGCTTAAGGTCCTTCGCATCCGGATTATGATTGATTGCAAAGTAGGACTTCATGGTCCTCAGCTGATGATGCTTGAAAGATGTCCTCATCCTTTTCGTCCGTTGATTGGACCCATGCATTCCCGGCGTGCCCGGCGATCTTCCAAACGACATGTCCAAATAATCCGAATTCAAATCTGAAAATAATAAAATTAATTTTAGTTGACAGATAAAGAGAATGTTATTACTTAGAAAGCAACTTGTATCTTTGCTATCACTACACAGAGCCAAGATACCAATTTACATCAATAAATTTGTTTAATGAACGGTATGCAAATAACATACTCCAAGTGTAATTGTTTTAATTACTTACTTGGCAATCTGTCAGTAAATAATGAATAGAGTTAAAAGGACGAATACAAATAGGTGTTTCTAAATTCTTCGATTACTTTATCAATGGCGGTTTCTTACAGTGGACAGTTAATAATAGCTTTGTAGGTTTGGAACAGCTTGCACTGCACATTGGGGGAAAATGTTGATTTACCAAGTTACTGGATAATGGTTTAAACATTTTTTAATTGATACATGTTTTCCTAAAGAACTTAAAAATATGGCATAATTTGGCTTTACTAAAGACAAATCCAGTAATCTGGTTTAATTTATTAACTCAGGGCCCTATATTAGGATATCTGAGGCCAATTTATTATGGAGGCCATCAAGAAAAATAGTGTATTTTAAAAAAGTTTATTCTTATGATATTGTACCAGTACTGTATTGCAAAAAGTATACTTCTATAGAATGTAGAAGACGAAATCAAATTTTTATCGACCTCCATTAGAAATATCACTAAAGTTGTCCTTTTTAAGCATCAACCTCTATATTCTCTTTTCATATTATTTAAAAAATGTAGAAAATGGTTAGCTAAATCAATTTCTTGATATCAAACTTTGTCCCATAGTGCAATAAAAGCGGTCCTTTTCAGTGGCGAGTTATTTACGTTTATGGCAAGTCTTGTCATCAAGTGTCGTCGATATTGGGTCCAATATACAAGAAGCGACTCCACTCCACCAACCATAAGTATGGTAGCAAGGATGGGACATCGTATTTGTAAAAGCTTTACCGACAGTGGCGTATCTCTAACAACATTTATCTCCGATTGTACATACCACGTAGCTTCACAAGAAAGAGACAATCCTTACGCAATGGAATTTTACACTTTTTATAAATAATAACACCTATACGATTTTGCATAAGTAATAATATTGATTAAAACTAATATTAATAAATATAACTCTTAATTGCCTATTAAACTAATCAATTTATTTAAAATCTGAATATTTGATTTATAAGAAAAACATACTTATACAGGATATTTCTAAATGATGTTTCAATACAAAAGAGGTTATTCATAGAACAGATTTTAAGAAGAAAAGTTAATTTTAACATACATTCTAAAACGTTTCCTTTGGAATTTGTTATATTCAAATAACTTTTTTCAAAAATCACAAGAACCATGTTAAAAAAATATCTTTGGTAAACTCTTTAGGAACACCAATGGTGTTACACCATGCATAAAACAAAAACTTAGGTTTACAAAAACATTTAATTTTGAAGCGACTCGATCAATTTGCCTGACCATTGTTGGCCATTGAAATTTCAATCGGATTAAAAAAATCGAAGAATGTTCTGGTTCGGTAAGGTATCTAACCTAATTAAAATCGAAACCGTACATTTTTTCGGTCGGTTTTCGTCTACCCATTTCGCATCCCACATACTACATCAAAGTCACAACAAATACTATAAAACCGGGTAAATATTACAATCTTAGTTAAATCTTGTTTTTATAAATGGAAACGTTTTATTGATTAAGAATAATTGATGATGACCTATGTTTTATTTATATACTGGCTTCAACAGTTTTATAATCGCTATAAATTTGGTTTTTATTTTAATGTCATCGTGGTTATAATATTTGCATCTTTTTCAACATCTTTTGCCGAGGATTTTTATGATTTTTACGGTGTATGGTAATACTTCAGTTTATATAAATATTTATAAATATCGATATTCGTGAGAATCTTTCAAAAATTCTGCTTATTACAAAAGTTTACGAATTTCGGTCAACTGTTGGACCCGGGTAGATTAGAACGATTTAAAACGTTATTTGATGCGCTGAATCAGAATACTTAAATTGCTTTTCAATATTAGTTCTATAGAACTATAGTTTTCGAGTTCTCAACCATTAAGGACCGTCTTTTCAGTACTTAATCAAGTTGTTTCCCAAATTGTCACACACAAAAATCAAATAACGAATATTCGTCGGATCTGATATTTACGAAAACCAGAACCAATCCTAATAATGGATTTGGATTTAGGGCCCCAAATTACCTAAGAAACAACTTTTGCGTTGCTTAGATCCAAATTATTAACAGTTAAAATATAAGAGTTTAAGATTTTTATGAGGTATTGATTTGAGTATTTAACAAAATCTCCCAAGAAAAACCATATGTAGCGGGGTGCAGGGGAGCACGTATTTTGTGTTTTTTTTCTTATAACTTGAAAACTATGGTTTCTAGCGATAAGAACGTTTTTTACAAAATTAAAGCTGAATTTTATACAAGATTAATTTATTACTTTTTTTCTATCTCGCATATCAATTATATCCGAATTTTGAGCGCAACCATAGGAAATCTTAATTTTGTATTAAATGTTGTTATGGCTAGGACCCTTAATTTCGAGCAAAAAACCGAAAAACGGGACGTTTTACGTCAAAAGTGATTTGGTGGATCTGAAATGTTATGACCACTTTTTACACTTCCTTAAAGTTGTCTAAACTTTAAAGTGGGTTATAAATAGTAACGGCAACCAAACCACATCACTTGAGTATTACTTTGAAGTGGTAGTGGTAGTGGTAGTAAAGTAGGTATCCCAGTTTTGGCAACGTTTTCGGAACTTTTATCAAACCCTGAATGTGGCAGAACTTGATTATATAATTGCGGTGGTCATTGCCACGTTCTTTGTGATGCTTAAGTGATTTCCACTTTTTGCATAGGATTACCACTTTAAAGTTCCCTTCTTAAAAAGCAGACATGTTTACAAATAGTCGCCATTGTATCGCCGAAAATAAATGTGTAGTTACACAAATAATTCTGATTAGTACGGCACCAATTTAACATATTAATCGATTATTATTGGTTTCAGGTAACAAATTTTTATATATTTTTTCATTACCACATATTTCAACGGGGCGTGATAGTAACATTTTGTTCCTGTTAATTTTGGATCTTCGGATTATTTTAATTCTAGTTATTATTTTTAAGTTGTATACTTACTAGGGTGCTTCATTTTACAGCGACATTTTTTTCCCACCGGTCAGAAAACAAAAATGTTGAGCTATTACAAAGCTCTTAATCTTTATTTTAAGCCGTTTCTATTCAATTTTTAAATATTTCCCTTTAAAAACCATTAAAAACAATGTTTTATTCTTTTCTCCTTCCGCTCGTACAGTAAGAATGTTTTTTCGAATTTCGGTTCTAAAGTCTTTATACAGGATGAAATTATCTTACAAAATGTCTATTTAAGCAAGTCTGTAAGTTGAATATGTCCTTCACAAAGTGCTGTTCTACTCGAAAATCTTCTAAAATAACAGTAAATCGTATTGGGAGACTAAAGTATTGATTGTAGATAAAAAACGTTAATTACAATTTTGTAGGGAATTGTGTGCCCTACAAATTTGTCCAGAAATATTTTGATGTATCACATATAGTTTAGCTTGTACAGCCACTCTTTCACGTAACTCTTATAGTATAGTTATTAGTCAGAAACTGAATTTTTAAGAATTTGACACTTTGGGTGGCTGTACAAGCTAAACTATAAGTGATACAGAAAAATATTCCTTAACAAATTTGTAAGGCACAAAATTCCCGACAAAACTTTCGAGTAGAACGGCAATTTGTGAAGAACCTATTCAACTTACAGACTTGCTTAAATTGGCATTTCATATAATTTCATTCTATATAAAGATTTTAGAACCGAAATTCGAAAAAAATATTCTTACTTTACAAGCGGAAGAAGAAAAGAATAACATTGTTTTTTAATGGTTTTTAAAGGGAAATATTTAAAAATTGAATAGCAACGGCTTAAAATAAAGATTAAGAGCTTTGTAATAGCTCAAAATTTTTTTTTCTGACCGGTTACAAGATTTTCAGGTGGGACATTGAAAAAAAAATGTTGCTCTAAAATGAACCACCCTAATACTTACATTAAAATAATTTTAGTATTCAGTGTCAGTTAAATGTCCACTTTCAGACGAGGATATAAAAAAATAAAGAGTAGTAATGTTTCGCTTAAGTTTTGGCTAATATACCTCCACGTTATAGTAACGTAATCATAACGTGGTATAAAAGTGTCTGTATACATACAATCCATGAACGTTGTTTGAACGTAACTGACACTGTTCCAAGTAAAAGTGGCCGATAGTAACTGATTGAACTTAAAAGCAAATATTTTTAAATTTAAATAAATGTTAAAGGAATTATATGAAATGTTTTCAAAGTGAATTTGACAATAATTACTAAACTCAGATTTACATTAAAAATAACTTAATTACAATAACACTTTAGTAAAATGTAATTTGTATTATGTTTTTTTAAACTTTAAATTTATGTTTTTAATTTAAACAAATGCGTTGTTTGTAAATGCTAACCCCCAATTATTCTAAATAATTTAGTTATTTATTAACCAACTTTTGGAAATATTTTAAGCAAGGTATATTGTTTTGTACAGATGTTCAATGAACTTTATGTACAAACCATTAGTCTTAAAGAAGAGCGAGTATTAATTAATCCTATAATTATGGCACAAATGAAGCTAATGCAGCATTAATTGCAATAGTTTAGCCTGTATACCTGTGTAATTCCCGTGACACGTTTTATTATCACTTTTATGGACCAAAACGCGTTTTTATAGCCTTAGAATACACGTTTAATAATTCACTTTTGTAGAACTTGTTAGATTTTTTCATCGATTTTGAATGAAGCTATTAACTTGTGTTGTGCTGTGTGAACATGGTAATGCACGTAGGCACCGGGTACTGGGAAAATTTATCCATTCGATATTTTATCCCAAGTGTTAACCTTTGTTCGCGTAATGTTTATTATTTTAATAATTTTAGTTTCACGAATAAACCATTCATTTT